CATGAAGATGTCGCCCAATGCAGACCATCGCCAATACCAGGTATGAGCCCTCACATCATCATCCTCATCTCTCTCTCTCTCTCTCCCTCGTCTTTCTTCCTTGTCTTCCCTCTATACACCCGAAGACCACCACTTCGCCTTGCTGTATGTCCAAGCCTAGCCAACTATGGAAGTTGGGCTATGGCGCTGCCCTTAGCTGCACCCTTCTTCCCACGCGATCGCACGTGCACAACACCTTTTGCCCCAACGCTAGCAGCAACATGCAAGCAATCGCTCCAGCAGAGCTGCCGCAAACTGGCAAGTGCCAGAATGAGCTGCCAGGCAGAGAACTCTTTCCTATATGGAAAGGGTCTGGCCTAGCCAGCGGCCTGGCGAGGCGGGGCCTGCGCCCAGAAGCTTTCGGTAGGCCCCAGGKAGCTGGGCCTTTGCTGCTGTTGTTAGGCCTCGTTCAGTTACACCTCCTACCTGTCTGTGTATGTTGCTGCGAATGTGGCCCAAAGCCTGCATTTCAAAAAAGGCCTAGACGACCATGAAAAGTGTTTGCTGCTCGGTTCCTGGGTTCCCTCAACCAACTGACACTACACAACTGCCTGAACCCCAAATACGAAATTGACAGAATTTGACCTCTCGTGATTTGCTAGGCCCGCCTTCACTTAGGGCGGGCACACTTGCATCAGGGGCCCCTTAGGCTTGTCGAGGAGCCACATCCTCGCATTCCCTCCTCCTTTACTTCGATAGGCCCTTGAGAAGTTTCTAATTTGCAGGCATCTTTCCCTTGAGTCCTCTTTCGTAGCCTGCAATCACTTGGGGAGTTGTTTGGTGAAGTTCTTCTCTGGTAAACCACTGATCTTCACTGGGATCAGTATGGTGTTTGAATCTGACACGACACTGCATCCTTGGGTTTGGAGGTCGGCCTTTGCCGGGAGGTTTAGGTATTGGCATCACCCAATACTCCACGATTTCGTCGATGTTGACTTCGCCATCCATGGTTGGGTATCGTCTAGAGGGAAACTGTGCAGTTTCTACAAAAGGTGCCAACTTTGAGGCATGAAATATTGGGTGTGTACGCAGGTGAGCAGGGATGCGAATGACATAGGAAGGTCCATTTATCTTATCCCCCACTATGTCTAGGACCTCCCCGGGACCGAAATACTGCGATATTAGTTTACGTGAGATTCCCAATTCTTGGCCCAGTTTAGATGACTTGACCCATACTCGGTCTCCTACCTGAAACTGCGATGGTCGTTTGTGCATGTTCTCAGATGTCACCATAGCATCTTGAGCTTTCTTAATGTGTTCTACAACCTGTTGCAGCATGTATTCATACTTGACAGCGAACTCTATGCTGCCAGGTGTTGCAGATGGTCGAGTTTCGGGTAGCAGGAAATCCAAGGCGGATCTTGGCTTCAAACCAAGATGCAGTTGGTTGGGAGTCATACCAGTAGTGCTATGCACAACGTTGTTGTACAAGTTGGCGACGAGAGGCAATTTCTCGTCCCAGTCATTCTGACGTGGCTTGATGTAATGCCGTAGTAGGTGTTCCAGTACTCGGTTCATATGCCGTAGTAGGTGTTCTGGTACTCGGTTCGTTTGTTCCGCCTGACCATTTGACTAAGGGTGATTTCCTGATGTCATCTGCTGTCGGGTGCCCATCTATTGGGCAGTATTTTGCCACAGTTCGCGAGTGAAGCGAACATCCCTATCACTAACAATGGACTTGGGTAAACCGAAGTCCCGTACCCATTTATCCATAAACAACTTGATAACATAGTGAATTTTTGTTATTTTTGGCATAACGATTAGTCTAGCATACTTGGAAAATCGGTCCACTATAATGAAGATGTGTAGGGTATCCATGAAGTCCATGGACACACTTTGACTGGGACCTTCAGGGATCAGCACGGGCTTGATGAGCCCAAACGGAGCCTGCGTCATAGGTTTGTCCCGTTGGCAAACCTGGCAAGTTTCAACGTACTTCTTCGCATCTTGCATTATAGAAGGCCACCAGAATCTCTGCATAAGGTTAGCTGATGTCTTTTTATAACCGAAATGACCAGTTGACCAGTTGCATCATGACACTCGCCTAAAAACAAACTACGCTAAGACTCCCTATCCGGAACACATAATCTTTTATTCCCAGCCTTCTCAAGGAACAACAAGCCATTGACCACCGTAAATTTATCAGAAGTTACTTTATCTTTCGCTTCTAACTTACAGATGATTTATGACATGACTATAAGCTTCCACCAAGGATTGAGTTACATCATGAGATATACCAAACTCATTTATTAGCGCGCCCATATAATCTGCCCTTCGGGATAGTGCATCAACCACCTTATTGTATTCTCCCTTTAGAGTGTCAAGCTTGAAGTCATACATGTTTATGACTTTAATCCACCTCTTAAAGGCATCCGAGAGTACAGGCTGTGTCTTGATCCAGCGCAAGGTCTCATGGTCATATCTCACGTAAAAGAATCTGCCTAGGAGGTAGTGCCTCCAATAGACTAACGCTCTATAGAGGGCATATAGGTCTCACTCGTACGTGGACTTTGCTAGTTTTTGAGATGGCATCTTTTTACTCATGTACTCGATTGGCCTCAACTTTTTCCCCTCCTTCTGCGCATGGACTGCGCCTATGCCATATTGGTTGGCGTATGTGGTCACAACCAAGGGTTGCTCAGGATCCGAAAATTTGAGAACTTCATAGTGTGTCAGGGCATACTTCAATTTCTTGAAGGCTGCCTCACACTCTTCGGCCCACTCCCAAGGGGGTGTCATGGCGGGTTAGGTCGGTTAATGGGGAAGCGACATAACTACAGATTTTCACGAACGAACGATAGTAGCCCGTCGTCCCCAAAAATGACTGGACCTCAGTAACAGTCTGAGGTCTGGGCTAGTCAAGTATGCTGGTCACTTTGGCGTCGTCTGGCCTCAACCCGTTCGCGAAAATCTCATGACCCAGGTACAAGATCTTGGTGCGATCAAACTTGCATTTTTCCAAGTTAACTTTGTACTGGTGCTGCCGTAAGAGACCTAGCACTACATTTACATGCTCAACGTGCTCCTCTACAATCCTACTAAAGATAAGGATATCGTCGAGGTACACGACGATAAACTTGTTTAAGTAATCATGAAAGATCTTGTTCATCGCGTGCTGGAATGTTCGAGGAGCATTGCGTAGACCAAAGGGCATCACCACAAACTCATATAGACCATACCTGGTGTGGAACACGGTTTTGTGCTGATCCGCATGTCTAATGGCAATTTGATGGTATCCATACTTTAGATCTGTCTTTGTGAAGTACCGGCATCCCTACACTCTATCCAAGAGGTCGTCGATACGGGGTAGGGGCTCCGTGTTCTTTACGGTGATGGCATTGAGGCCCCTATAGTCAATGCACATCCTTAAGGAACCCCCCTTCATAGGAACGAATAAGACCGGTGCGCCATAAGGGAAGGTACTAGGCCGAATCCATCCCTTTTCTATGAGCTCTTTGAGCTGGCGGCAAAACTCATCCAACTCCACAGGAGACATCCTATAGATTCGTCCTCTAGGTACCTTGCTACCGGGGACGATTTCTATTGCATGGACAACCTCCCTTTCTACCACACCACTGGGTTCCTCAAAAAGTTTGGTTATTGAGCAACGACTGCTTCCATCTCTAGGGGTGATTTTACAGACTCCCCTTTCTCAGAAACAAAGACTAGGTGCTGGCCAGTGACCTCTGCCATAGGCTCATGTGGGTTGAGAGTTTCTATGTGGTGCGCACACTCATCTCCACATGGCCTAGGGGTAAGGGTAGTTGTTACCCCTACCGGCGGTTGCCTTTTGCTGCCTCTGCAGCAACTCGCCGGACGTCTCTATATTTTGGGCAATATTTGATAATGTGCCCAGGGTCACCACAACAAATGCACGACCTGCATCTATCCTCCTTTGCCAGACTGTTTATTTCATGCCCAACGATTCCCAAGATATGCCTTGAGGTAGATCAGGGTGCCATTTACCCCTTCTGGGAGGTGATCGGTTAGCACGAGGACGGTTTTGCGGGGGACCTTGACCCCTTCCTCCCTCTTGGCGGTTTCCTCTGCCGTGAACCCCCTGACCGCCTTGTCCTCGACCACTAGAGGCCTGGCCCCATTGGCCTCGGCCTCTTCCCCTTCCTTGCGACCTCCCTCAGGTTGCAACAACAACATAAGTACTCCCCTAGCCTATGCCACTGTCCTCCTCATCCAGGCCCCACTCAATCTCATTATACGAGACCTCTTCCATACCACCTTCATCTAGTGTAAGGATCAAATGAGCCTTGACCCTAACTTGACCTAAGATGGTACGACCCTTCCACTTTTTGCCTTTGTCGAGGTCCTTGTGCCAGAAAGTGGTAACTGGCGTGGATTGGGCCTCATAAGCAACAACCTCTCTGCTAAGTGTATCATACGTCATATTGGGTTGTTGCTTCTTGTTGAAGAAGTGCTCGTGTAGAGTCTTGGGCATGGCACGAAAGAATGATTGGACCAGCTGAGGCTCAATGACCCCATGGTCAGGGATGGCGACGAGTTCATCCATGGCAGCCTTGAGTGCCCTTGCACTCTTCCACGGTCGTGAGTGGATTCTTTGCAGCTTGTCAGAGGCCTTAAGGCCTCTAGTGACATCTGCAAATCGATCGCGGAGGGCTTTCAAAAACTCGCTCAAGGGCGTGATAGCGGAGTATGTGACCATATCGTTATCACACTTCGCAGTGCGTGCGAGCGACCTAGCAAAGTTGGCCGCTTCCTCTTTCAGGGCGTGAAAAGTCGCGAGAACTTGATAGCGATATCGTGCAAGTGCAAGTACGAGTTAATATTGGCCTCCCAATTATCGAAATCTTCGACCTTCTTCCCCCCATACATCTCGGGGAACTTAACCTCTACACACTCTCTGTGTGGTCATGCCTCCTCTTCGTTAGGGGCCGCTATCTTGGCACCTTCAATGGCACTAGTGCAGAACCTTTCTTTGCCTTCTATGACATCGCGCAAATGTGCCCACATGCATCATCATATCTCTTGCAAACTCCTTAAAACCTATGCACATGGATTGCAACACTATATCATGACCTCTCAAGTAGCGTAGCATGGATTGCGAACTCCTTCTGGGCCCTCAACACCACTCCTACACTTTTGAGAGATGACCTCCATTTTCTGTTGGAGATCCACCTCTGCCCCCAATTGCTCTCGTTGTTCTTTTGCTGCGTCCAACTCTCTTTCCATTGCTTCAGCCGCTTCCAGACACCTCCTCCTTTCCCTTGTAAGACACATTTCTGCTCCTCCTCTTTGACCTGTCTACACAAGGGGTCCTCTTCTTTCTCCAATTCCCTTATAACCGCTTCCCCTTTTGCCCGGGGAACTATCAACATCGGCTCTTCCTCTTCCCCCAGTACTACGTTAGCCACCCACTCATTCACTTTCTTCTCTATCCTCTTATCTCTCTCCGTCTTGCCATTGGATTCCCCTCTCTCCTCCGTTCTCACATTCTTCTGTAGGGGAACCTGCACTTCTTCTTCCTCTTCTTCTTCTTCTTCATCAACAACTGCTGCAACTTCTTCTTTTTCTTTCTGCAGCCGTTTCAATTCCTCCTCCAACTCTTTCTCTTTCTTGGCCTTCTCTGCCAAGAGAGCCACCTTCTTCGCTTTCTTCTCCAACTCCTCCTTCCTTGCTTTCTGCCCTGCTAGTACTTTTGCGGCCTCCGCGTCCTGCTCCTTTCTATAAGGAGTGGTCCCTGCACCACCCGTTGTCAAGACTCTACACGACAACGTGTGCCAGACGCCTAAGGGAAATAGGAGGCGCCAAAGGGTCCTCCACAGCGAGAACCCCACGAGCAAGGAATACATTGGGTAATCATCCATGGTGATATGTGCACAACCAGTGGCAGTTCCACTCCTCACCACTTAGACTTACCCACAGACTGACTGATTGACTGACTGACTCCTTAAGGACTACGAAGTCTTCGCCTTTGATCCAGCCAGGTTACCACTGCCACAGAAAGCTTTCCCCACCACTGTCACTGAAACTTTCCAGATCCCATTGCACCATGCACCAGCGATCAATCCCACCTGGCTTTCTCTTTGGATCAGACCTTGTCAACTAGGGTCTCTAGCCTGACCTTCTTCTAAGGCTGTCACTACAGGACTCTACTGCTGATCATGAGGCATTTAAGGAGATCCCCCATAACTCCTCAGGAATTTTTTAACGTCGCAGTCGGGATGACGTGATTAGCGAGTCCTCTCAGCACTTAGACAACTGGCTGGACAGCCTGCAGTTCGGATTTTGGGCCTACCATGCCACACTGAGCAGCCCGCCGGTCTGTACCGGTCCTTGGGATGGTCAGGCCTTTGGGACGAGTCAGTCGTCAGACATGGACTGAAGCATACTCAGCCCGTGCAGGTTTGGTCAACACAGCTCTACAGACCACATGCACATAGTCCTATCATTTGGACATAAGCGACTCAATGCAGAAAGAAGAGAGACAAACTCAGCAAGTACCAAGGGGTATGTGCGCATCCATAGGGCGAGGGGGTAGGCTGAAGGCTTGGTGAGGTTATACCAACTCCAGCTTGGTCAAATCTTGGTCAACGGTTTTGGTCAACACCGGTCAACTCTGATCAATGCCTTGGTCAAACGTGGTCAACTCTCCGGTCAACGTCGTCGGTCAACTCCTTTAACCCCCAGCTATGGCTGCCGACCCTTCTCCTTTGCCAACCTCTCTCTCTCTCTCCTTCCCCCTTCTCTCTTCTTCCTCAACCTCCTTGGCTATGGTGTCTTCTCTCCTTCTTCTCTCCTCCCTCCGTCCTCCTCTCTTTCCTCTCTTCTTCGTCACTTCAATCCTCTTCTTCATCGCAAGGTCCGAGCTTGGCGGCTATGTCCGTCACCTTCTTCTTCACGGCTGTAAACCAATCTTGTATCACTCAACCTCTCTCTCTCTCTCTCTTTTTTTTTTTTTTTTTTTCCGTCGTCGTCGTCGTCGTTTCTTCTTTTTCTTTGTTTCTCGCCAGTCTCTCCTCACACTGCGCAGCGGCTATGGACAGTCCTTCGGTAGCGAGCGGCCCGCAACGATCTTCGACGCGGCTATCTCCGGCTCGCGACTGGGCGATGTGCCCCTCCCCCCCCACGGACAACGCAGGTAAGCGTGTAATCTAGCGTGCTACCTTTCCCAACGAGCGCGCGGGCGACGAGTAGCAGCACGCGGCACTCTGATGCGCAGCGCGACGCGTGATCAAACACGGGCACTCGTAACTGTGACGAGCGTGCGTCAACTATAGCGCGTGATAGCAACTGGCGCGCAAGCTTAGCGTGCAATGGCGCGCAGCGAGCAGTGGGGCAACGCGGGACCTGACGCGCGATCTGGGAACAAAGGGGCGTGTGACAAGTACGGGGCGCGTGCGGTAATCAGCGGGGCGCACGGTGTTGACGTGGTGCCTCTGCTGGCGCCTCTCTCTCTCTTCACCGATAGTGCTGACGTGGCGCCTACGTGGTGCCTCTCCTCCACATGATGATGACGACAATAATAAAGGTGATTGCGCAGCTGACGTGGACGCCGTCGATCGCTGTTGCGGAACAGCAGGAACCAGCTCCAATACCAATGCAATCAGACTTGTCGACTTCGACTTTCAGCATGCGTACAAACAGATGACGATCAAGTTGGCGACTCTCGCCCACACAAAGCTCAGAGATAACAAGGCCACAAACACAGTTCAGATTCGGACTTGTCCCAACCGGCTATGGCTGCAACTTGTTCGTACACACACAACTCTGGATCTCCCTGGATGTCCCGCACACACACTCAAACATGAACACACTCTTACACACACACGTACACACTCACTTCTGCCAACACTCTAGCACTAAGCTATGGCAGCTATGGCTGCCTTCTCCTACGCTAACCAGACCAGCGGCTATGGCCGCGTCTTCTTCCTCTTGGCCCACTTCTACTACGGGCACCTGCAGGACGCTCAGGCAGCACTTCCGCATGGCTCACAGCAGAATGAATGAATGAGTTGACGCTGCCTCTTGATTTATACTTCGGATTGTCAAAGGTCTGCCTCTCGGACCCTGGGCCTGGGTGCACACAGTCCCACATGGTACTTGCTGCCTTGACAAAGTGTGACCGGGACTGGGTACCGCTGACTGGGCAGAGTTAGTCTTCCCACTTGCCCACTTGCCTACGGCCTACCTTCTAAGACCTACGAAAGGTCCCTTCCGGAGGGTCCGGAAGGCTGTCAACTTGACCCTACAGCACTGTAGCAGCTACGGCGTTGACTCTTGTGGACTGTTGCAGCTACGACTCCTGTCACTGTCAAGATTCCTAACCTACAGACCTACTGTTCAACGCCCGACGACCAGACTACCGACAGCAAGCAACAGGCGGCTTCCGAGACACAGGTCGTGGGTTCAAGCACAATGGGGTCAGCTGATACTGTACACGGGTAAGCGCAAGGTCTGGGGATCGAGTCCTGGGAACGGCATCTGCTACCGCAAAGGTGAAGACCGTTTCACAAGCTACATTTATTATTTCATTGCAGCCATTATTAACATTCTTATCATCCTCATTAATCATTGTCAAAGTAATAACGATCATTGAACAGCCCACCCATTCCTATTTTTTATTGATGTCAACCGCTACAGCAATTTGTAGAACAGAATACTTTATCCGGCAGTTGCTGACTCCCTCCACCAGCAGAACTATTGAGCCCCCCTTCCAGACGAATCAAACCCAAATTGGTCCCTTTTTCAACCAGTCACGCAGTCTCCCTCTGTAACGACCAATCCTGACCCCAGGTCGGGTAGGGAACCTCTGGCCAAATTTTTCCTGGCCACCACCACCCACTAACCACAAAATGACGAATTCTGAGTCCTCAACTGCAGCCTCCTCTGCAGCAGCAACTACTGCTGCAGCCACGAGCTCAACAAGTGGCATGCCAAAAAAGCTCAGACAACAGGAACAGGACCCAAGTCAGGAAGTGCTAAATCTAATGGTAAGGGAACAAGGTTGGAGCCCCCAACGGTCGGCGGCCCTTGACTGGTCGGCTGCTGACCCACCGACCAATCGGCTGGTGGGGACCTACCGGTCGGGGTTCGTCGGCACCCCGCAAAAAATAAAATAAAAAAAAACAAAAAATTGGGGGGGTCCAGAACCCCTAATAACACCACCAACACCCCCATAGCGGCCTCCAATAACCCCACACCCCTCCCTAACACCCCCAAAACTCCCCCAAAATGCCCCCAATACCCCCTATATACCCCACCTATATCACCCCCAAACCGCCTCCTATACCTCCTTATTCCCCCCAATACCCCCTATATCATCCTATAGCCCCCCTATACCCCCCTATACTCCAACCCCAACCCCCTCATACCCCCCCCCATCCCAAAAGTTTCTCAGTGGATTTCGGCTGTACTCAGCAAGCATAGTACAGCCCCCAACTCAGATTTGAAAAAAAAATCAGTGGATGGTTGTTTTCTGACTGGTCGGCAGACCGCCGACCGGTTGGCCCTACTGATCGGCTGCAATACAGTCGGCTGTCGGGATCGGCGGTCAGCAGGGATGCAACCCTGTAAGGGAAACAAAAATCATCCCCATTATCTCCAAAGCATTGATGAAGGGAGAAGATGAAGAAGTCGAAGTCTGGGAGTATCCCCAAGGGCACCTGCCCATTCTAGATGAGTTCTACGAGTCTCACATTGTTGTGTGCTCGTTCTTGGTAAAATTGAAGCATTGGTCACCAACAGAAAAACGAAGAAGAATTCGAGAAGCCCTCAGAAACATAGAAAGTCTGAGGGACACCGAACCGAAGGTGGGCTACCAACGGAGGGGCAGACACGCAGTCACAGTCTTGTGCGCTGATCACGAATATGCAGAGTACTTCCTCTCAATCCAGTTACTCTACTGTGAGGGGTCAGTGGCATCAATCTCCAAATGGAGACCGAACAGAACAACACAACAAGGGTCCTCAACATTGATGAACAATCACTACTGGATCCAGTTCGACAACATAGCAGACGAGATGCACAGATTAGTGGAAGAGAGATTGAAAGAATCCTATCCCCAATGCCCCCTACTGGAATTGGTCTCATCTGCTCCTGGCTTTCTGACGCCAAGTGCCAATTCCATAATCGCTTGTGTCGAGCTCAAAGCTTGCAACCCCCCGACCTCCCCGACAAATGGCTCTTCAGATTGGGGCACCAAATTCAGACAGTTTACATCTCCACCAAGTCGAATCCCATGTGCTTCAGATGCAGAATAAAAGGACGTATGGGAAACGACCTTCTCTGGCCGCAGAATACTGGCAAGCGAGAAGCAAGGAGGCTTTCACCCTCAATGCTAGTAGAAGCTGAAACAATGAAGCGAATTTGGATCATCAACAACCCAGCCTACACAAGTTGGGGTTTTCACGATCTCAAGGACATTCCAGCGTGGATATGAACATTGTCTGACCCAGAACCAGCGTGCAAACCAGATGTGTTCCCCCCACACGGGAGCACATGGCAAGCCAGAGGAGGAAAGAAGACTGACAGAACAATCCACAAGTATGACAGGCTAAATCTGGGCTACCCCATCCAACTGGAACAATCAATGCACAGAAGCAGATTCTCAGGGAAGTCAACAACACGGGAAGTGAAGCAGAAAAGGCCTACCTTGAAAATCTGCAATCAAGGAATGAGAGGCAAGGAAGCAACATAAATAAAGGAAGAAGGAACGACTCAGGACAAACGAAAAGAAAGTCAAGGAATGAATAAGAAGACTCCATGGAAACCACCCTCACACAAGACTTAAAGAAGAGCAAAGAGGAAAACACCGACAAGGAAGAGGGCAGCAGTGAAATACACCTGGACATTCTGAGAATAGGCAAGGCAATAGAAGACAACCTGGGACCAGCAGAGGAAGAATACCCAACCTCCACCCTGGACTGGCTGAAAGAATACATCACCTCCCTCCAATGGCGCAGAGATTTGGACTTGGAAATCAGGCTGGCTCACTCTGGAACATACTTGCAAGCGGACGGACCGGACGAGCATCCGGTCCGGTCCGCTTTGCCGGGTCCGGGACTCTTCTGTCCAGTGCAGTTTGGTCCGGGACTGGAGCGGTGCCTTCCCCGCACCGTCCGGGTTGGTAGGGACCCTTTTTTTTTTTTTTTTTTTTTTAAGGTTCTGCAGGGTAGGGGGCATTGTTGGGGGGGAGTGCACACCTCTTAGGGGTCCGAAGTTGCGAACTATTGGCAAATGTAAGGGGATACGCTCAAGATTCGTCTTACGAAACAAGCGACGGTGTCGTGACTGTAGCAATTGCATTGGCGGGGCAGGCAGTGTGGCAGGGTACTCACCTGTTAAGTTGTTATCACTTGTTACNGTGGCAGGGTACTCACCTGTTAAGTTGTTATCACTTGTTACCAGATGCAGACACAGAAACACTGCATAGCCGGCAAAACAGAACGCTGCAAATGGGCAAATGACAGAAAACCACACACACACACTGCAACACAGGAAGAATGGACAGAATGCTAACTTAAAGACTTTACTTAAGTTACTTAACTGATGATGAGAAGATGAACTACAACTTCTAGAACTTGTAGTTCACAGTTCTTGCTTCGTTTCAACGACGGGCTCCTCCTCCTCGATGGCCGCAACGACGATACTCCTCGACGGCTGCAATGATGGGCAAGATGGCGACGGTGCGGAACGGCGGCGCAGCAGGATGGCGACGGCGACAGGCAGGACGGCGCGAATAGCAGATGGCCGGTGGCACTTTCCTCTGCGACTGCGTTTCAAACCAAGTGAGTAATGCCCTGAGCCGGGGTTTCGAATTTCGAAACCCCAAGGCGGTCCGCCCTTGAGCGCAGGCCGAAAAAAACATTTGGCGGTACTGGTCACATTTTTTGAATGGTGCCTCAAAACTGCCGTTTTGACCCCCAATTTTTTTTTTTTGGGGGGGGAGTGGGTGGGGGGTAACTGGTCGTCGGTCGCACATTCGTGCGCCGCGCGGGTCCGGTCCGACGGTCCGACGCACGTGCCGAACCTCGCGGACGGCGTCCGCTTGCAAGTATGCTCCAGAAACATAAGTAGCCTGAAAAAAAACAGCTCCTTCAATTTCCCCTAATCCCTACGACGTGCTGCAACCAGAGAATAACTTCGCCGAATTCCTGGCTTTGCAGTATGTGGACAACCAGGAGGATGGAATGGAAACTGAACTGACAGATTCAACTCCCAAAACCGTGGAATGGGCGAACTCCTATCTGAGGGAGGGCATGGGGAGGAAGGACAAGGGGAGCAAAGAGATCTAGAGGGGAATATCATTTCTACGGCTAATGACTTACTGGCACAGACAAAGAACCAGAAGAAGGAATTGAGAAGACAAAATGGCAATTTTGGATAAACAAACCAGGTTCTTGGAGGATCAAAACCATGGTAACTGCGGACCCAGACACCGGACACTTCCGGACTATCTTCCGGACTAGTGACCTGACCGGTCCGGACTGTCCGGTGAGGACACCCGGACATCATCGGACTGGACAGTCCGGACCGGTGCCAGTGGGTACAAAATGTCCGAACCGAAAAAAAAAAGAAAAAAAAGAAAAAAAACGGTGGGGTGGGTGGGTGGGTGAGTGGGTGGGTGAGGGTGTTGGCAGGCACACCCCTGCTTTGCACTTTGTAGTTCAGGCAGCAGAGCACCTGTCTTGCAGCTAATCAACAAGCACGTTCAACTAGCAGAGATGCAGAGTTGCAAACAATGCAAAGCAGGCTCAAGACTAAAGAAACAAAGGGAAACAAAATTGAGAAAAAGCATGATTAACTTTGAAGTTTGAACTTATAACTTAAAAGTTTGAACTTATCCAGCGGCCTAGCTCAGTTGGTTAGGCACGCAAGTGGCTTCAGGAGGTTGTGGGTTCGAGTCCCACAACCGCCTGTGGCGCACTTTGTGCCAACCAGGGGTGATAGTCCGCTTGATACCTCTGATCCGTAATAGCAGGGTCCTTGGCCAACACGGGTGTGAGTGTGAGTGGGTTGTGTGTGGTGCGTGGGAGCGTGTTGGCCTTAGACATTGCTGTTATTCGGTTGGGGGTGGGGGACGATGAAAACCGAGGTGCGGCTATTGGCAAAATGCTCGGTCTTTGCGTTAGCCGGACCCCCACCGGTGCCCTACCCCATCCTTGACCACCATGGTTGGGGCGGGGGGCAACATGCATCCCGTCTGATGGCTGGAGGGAGACAACAAAGCTATGTTTGCAGTGGTCCCCTGTCTAAGCCTTAGGACTAGTGGTAGGTAGGTAGTGAAGGTGAATTGAAAGAATTTGAAAGATGATGGAAGATTTGAGAGAAGAATATAGCGTAGTTAAAAAAAAAGAAAAAAAAAGGGTTTGAACTTTGAACTTTGCAGTTCAATTCAGAACGTCAGTCTTCAGACTGGCAGCACTGTTAGTGCTCTCTCTCTCTCTCTCTCTCTCTCTCTCTCTCTCTCGACAATGGGCAGCGGCGGTGGGCGGCACGTCAAAATGGCCACTTTGAAATTCCTCGGGCTTGTGTGAAACCTGCCACCCCAAAAACCTGCAGTGTCTACCTCTAGGCCCTGTCCGGTGGGGTGAAACGACATTGAAAAATCACCCCGTCATTTTTTAAGGGGCGGCTCTGGCCGCCCCTTTTTTTTTTCTTCGATTTTTGCCTTGGGGGCCTCCAGATATCATGGACTGGACACCAGACCCGGACATGTTGTTCGGGACTGTTTGGAACTTGGTCCGGACGTCCGGTCGGTTACCATGATCAAAACCAAGAATTAGGTGAGGTCTCCCAATCTCTCAACACGTTTGCAGATCAAAATCCTGCAGACCTTGTCCTGCAAGCAGGCATGGACGCACTATCTCTCTCTCGAACAGTTCCATCGCTGCCTTTACGCTATGAACCTAGAAAAGGTTAATGGCAGATGGCAGTCTAACCCGCATTGTTCGTCGTCACCATCCAAGACTCAGAATTGCCAGCGCAGTTCTTGAGAGAGAACATCTCAGAGCAGCGCCCCCAAGTCATCTGTAGAGCTGGCAAGGATGAGAGATTGAACATCACATGGGAGGGCGATGATGGGAAACCCCACACGAGAGACGTGAGATCCTACATGGCCATCTGTGACCATCTCACTCAGATGAGAGAAGATCTGGTTTGAGAAACCGTGGGAGCTGATATGTGAAATCCCCCACGCATTACGTGGACCCAGGGATGAGATGGACAGAATTGCCCACAGCATGGCCACCTTCGTGAGGGAAGAGTGGTTGGGAAAGAACATGGAAGAGACAATGGGTAGGATCAAGGCAGAAAGGGCAAGGAGGGAGGAGACGAGAACCAAGAAAACGGAGGGCGCCTCCTGAACTAAAAATCAGTCCCTCCTCTAAACAACCATCCAAAAAATGGAAGGGTCACAAGAGGAAGGGACTGCAAACAGAACAAAGAGATTCAGACCAATCACAAAGGAAAACGTTCTTCACGAAATTAGAAAACAACCCAAGCTCTCGTGTGTATCATGGAACGTAAACGGCCTAGCCTCAGTTCTAGACAATCCAATTAAATGGAGGAATCTAACTAAAGCTATTGGCTGGTTCGGTCCAAATCTCCCAGATATCACATGCTTACACGAAACTCGTATCTCAGCAAGCACAGACACCAAAAAATCAGGGTTGCCCTAGAGAAGAAACTGATGCACGTGAAAGCAGCCTACTTGGCAAATGCCACAAACAATGGTTCAACGAGTATAGTTATCTTACTCCACCAAAACTCAACGGCAAGTAACTACCTTAAAGTTGCCAACAACTGGCAGGACACTACAGCGGGAAGATGGATTAAATTAAATATACAAGTGGTCCCGCCGCAGCTACGCTGCGGCAGAGGAGAGGGAGGAAGAGGGGGGCGGGGCCGTTGTTGTTACAGTGCCCCTTTTTTTTTATTAATATCTTTTTTTTTGTCGTCATATTCGCTATACACGCAAAAATCTCTCTCTCTCTCTCTCTCTCTCTCTCTCTCTCTCTCTCTCTCTCTCTCTCTCTCTC